CTCCAAGTCATTGTATCCTATCCATGTGGAGAATCAAGTTTCTTTGTGAATTCACTAGTAAATGTAATGTTTGCATGTACATTATTAACTATGGTTCATTCAATACCTCCAGGAAGAAATCCTGGACCAGCACCCTCTGTGATTTGAGGGGGTGTGTGTCTTGGATAGGAGGACTGCTGACCAGCACCCAGTGACTAAAGGGTTAAACTCAGGTAAGTAGCAAGGGTGTTGGAAGGGGGCCAGAACAATCAATGGGAATACAGTGCTGAAATCTGAATTATATTTAGATACCTTGCCTGCTCTCTTTGGGGAAAAAAATCTAAGTTATAGGCTGGAGGAAGCAGATATAGTAATCAGAATTGCTATGCCTATAAGAAATATTGGACATGGGAGTGTACTGGGCCTTGAAGTACGGATCAGCATGGGTTTTGAGTAGAAGGGAAAACGTGTATTTAGTCGCAGTCGGGGTATTTTTCTTTATTTTGGTTGTTTAAACTTCTCTGTGTGAATCTTTGCCTTCCCTCTCCCACTCACCATTTAAGTTACAGCCCGAAGAACTATGATTCTTTGTATTGTCTATCTGTCCTTTTCTTAGTTGCTCTGTAACACCTAGCAACCAAGTATGATTTATCAAGTATATCTTTTTCTTTGTTAATAAAATCACCTTTTTTAGGGTGATGATTTGATTTGTATGTCCTGGAAGGTAAGAGGTCTGTGTGTGTCCACCTAGCCTTGGAGGTCAGCTATCAGAGATACGGTTTGTTTTTCTGTGCTTTTTGCTTCTTCTTTCAAGCTCTTCTGGGGCAAAAGAGCTTGGAATACCCCTGGGGAAGGAATTCAAAGTGTTCCTTCCTGTTTTTTTCAGGGTTAAATCATTTGATGGTTGCAGTTACCCTCCAAAGTCAGTATATCTGTGACTCTGGGGAGTGTTTGTAAGCAGAGCCTAGAGAGGCAAGGTCACTTACGGGCTCCCATCTTCTGCACTAGGAGTGCCAGAGTGGGGCACAGCCCTGCCAGCTTCCTTTACTCTCGATATAGTTTCATGGAATTACACTGACGCCAACTGTATTCAGTACTGTTTATATTTGCCCAGATGGACTGACACTATGCAAAAAGGAGAAAAGCACAAAGGCAGGCAGAACAGATATAATGTCTAATGTAAAGAGTATAAGATTGCCATAGTATTGCTTTCACATGCTACTTCTTGTTAAATGGGTTAATTATTGTATTCCCCCAGTTAGAGTCCAAAGTCAAGCAGGAGTTACATCCTAACTAGATCGTTGATGCCTGTAACAGGGCCTGCCAAACATATTGACCCTTTGAGCACCTCACAGTCTTCAGAATTTCAAGAGCTAGGGTACACCAGAGGGCACACTTGTCAGGGCTTGGAGCATCAGCTCTGCATGATGGGAAGTCTCAGGGCCTCTGCCCCACAGTAGGCGGCTACTGGGGCTCAGGGCTCCAGACCCCTCTTGTTGAAGTGTTGAACCCCAGTAGGCATGTGCCAGTGGATTGAGCTTCAGGACTTCCTATCCCACTGGGCAGAAGTCAGAGGCAGTCTGTGGGAAGGGGACCATGGGGTCAGATGCCCATATAGATTTTTTTAAGGGTTTACTGGCCCCATGCAGGCACAATGTGCTGCCAGGTCCTCTTCTGAATGACAATTTCTGAAGCAGGGAAGTTGGGGGCTATGTCCATGGGAGAGGCAACAGCAAACAGTTGGGAGCTGTAGGGAGAGAAGCTGCTTTTGCTGCTGCGTCTCCTCACGGAGCTAAAGCAGAGACCTCTACTTGCAACTCCCAGCTGTTTGCTGCTGCCTGTCCACACCGAACTAACAGCTCAGAGCTGCAAGAAGAGTCTGGGAGGTGCAGAATTTGCAGTGGGGACACCACAAGCCGCACTTGAAATATAAAAGTGTCTCATGTGCCTTGCGAGCTGCAGTTTGGCTACCCCTGCATTGCAGGCTCAACATACAAAATGAGTGACTGTTCTAAGAGTGTCTTATTGCAAAAAGAAAGTGACAGGCTTATCTACGAACTGGGTTCATTCCTGCATTCTAGTAAAATATGATCAGTTCACTGCATGCACACATCTAGCAACAGAGCAGAAAGAAAAGGAAGAATTATTTTCTTCCTAAAATGACATCATAGAGCTTTCCTGTTTTCTTGACTTGCATCTCTCTGAAACCAGCTGCAGTGAGGAGCTTTCTGAACTCACTTGGTGTTCGTTCTTTTCCTTCAGTCTGAACCAACATTATCACAGACAAGAGCAGGGCATCCAAAGGCCCAGTTTTGTCATCATCCACAAGTGATTCAACCAGCAACACTCCGCCACCTTGTGGGACAAAGATATAAAAACACATTGATTTGTCAGAGAAGGACACAAACTTATTTCCCAACTTCATTTTTAGGTCTTTCCATCAGAGATGCCAACTTTGTGGGTGCTCCGGAGCTGGGATTACAGGATGCTTAGCTCCTGCTGGCAGCCCTACAGATCAACTCCTCTCCTCCCTCCCAGTGCCTGAAGCCCACTGTAATCAATTGTTTCATTGACATGCAGATAGTTGTGGGAGGAGCAGGCATGGGGCATGCTCAGGGGAAGAAGCGGAAAGAGGCAGGAAAGAAACAGGGTGGGGCGGGAAGAGGTGGAGAAAGAGTGGGGACTTGGGAGAATGGGTGAGGGAGTGACAGAGCAGGAGTGGAAAGAGACAGAACAAGGTTTGGGATTAAAGGAAGAGGCAAGTGGGGGCAGAGGAGAGACACAAACCTCCCTCTTGCCTGAAAGAAGCTGACACTTTTGATTTCCTTAATCTTAGTGGTCCTCTTTGGATGAAAAAGAAAAAAAAATCACATTATACTGTGATAGTAGTTAACTGTATATCAAGAGGGATTCTATGCACCAGTGGGCTATTATTTCCTGTACTTGCCAGCAGAGAGTGATGGGGAACCTGTTAGTTGTGATTGAAACATTTATTTACTCCAGCTAAAATGAACCAGATGTGTGGTCACTCACCACCTCTGAAAATCATGCTCCTTAGGCCAGAATTTGAAAAGAATTTAGTCATCTAAAAATGGACACCAGTAATTTCCAAAATTTGAATAAGTGCCTATCAACATCCTTAGGCACCCAAATCATTTTAAAAAATCAGACTTTGCCTATCTAAATTGTATGCTCAAACCTACGAACAAAAGACAAAAAATTCAAATTGATCATTATTACTCATGGTCTGAATGAAAAACACTCACATAAAAAGGATATGTATTCATCTGAAGAGGTGGGTTATGCCCACAAAAGCTCATGATGCCATTTACATGTTTTGTTAGGTCTTTAAGGTGCTGCTAGACTCCTTGTGGTTTTTTAATTTTTTTCGATTACATACTAACTCGGTTACCCCTCTGAAGTTTATGTTTCTTGAGTTAGTCTTTCATTAAAATGGCCCTTTAAAACTCTCTGATCCAAACAAATACTTCCTATACATCTCTATTATGCAAAGAGGAAAACATACATACCAGGCTTGCAAACCTTGTGGATTTTTGATAGTAGCTCCAAACACTTGTCATCTGCCCAGTCATGCAGAACCCTCGCCACAATGTACAGGTCAGCCTCTGGAATTGGATCTGTAAAAAAATCTCCTACAAGAAAAAGAAAACAAAGCAAAAAAGAGGCCTGAATGAGCCACCATTTTTAATTCACTATTGCAAAAAGTACCAGCTGGCTCCAAAACTCCTCAAAGGGCTTGCTGGGAAATTACATTATTTTGGCTTGCTGTACTCAAGGCTGATGCTAACCAGTGACTAACACTGAATGGCAAAAATTCTCAGTGCCATAGGCTAGTGTGAAGGGGTTTGTTCATGTTAAGTGTGGAAGAGGTCTGAATAATGTAAGCAGCCAAACATTTAAAACGCATATCTGATTCTTTAGAAAATATTTTAGTGCTTCACAATTTCCCTGAAGAGACAGCAATTAATGTTCAGACAATGCAGTAAATAGAAAGGGATGATGAACCAAACCCAAAATAAATTAATTTTTACTTCCTTGTAGGCCAAGTAAATTTTTAAAAAACCTCCTCTAAACTAGGTGGTACCACAATACAAATTAAGTAAAGTCATAGCACTGTTAGATGGCAAATCTCCCGGTATTGATTTATTGCTGGTGATCCTTATGCCAATTTCACATCCCCCCCCCCCTCTCTTTTGCCCACTTCACCACTTCTCTAAGACATCCTACCACTCCTCCTCTTTTCCTCCTTCTTCATTGCTGCGGCTTCTTTCTCTGCCTCTCCCCTGACTCCAGCCCTCTAAAAATGAGCATTTGTTTATTTTTAAATGGTAAAAATAGACACTTAATACCAAGATGTTCCTACTGTTCCTACATTGGTGTGATGGATGATGCTGTATGATTGAGGATAACTACATGTATGATAGCTGGTATCACCATTACATAATTGCAACAAACTTTGTGGAAAGTATATCATGTTGGATATCAATGGAAAAGATACATATGAACAAATATGATTATCCTGATAAATCCGTATATCATTGCTGTATCTGAAGTTACGATGTTGTCTATGTATTTCCATCTCAAATGTGTTTGTTTTTGGGGTGATGCCACATTGTTGTTTACATGCAATCTCAACACCCCATTGTGGATGGACTATACAGGTGTTGAAGCGCTATTAGAAAGCATCAACTGAGGATGCCTCAGATAGCAAGGAATCAATAGCAACTACGGAGTGATGGGGACATCTGACCTAAAAATCCATCTTGGCCAGTAACTCCCCATTCATCTGTACTGTGGGCTTGGTTTGGAACAGTGCACATGGCAGAAGGAAAAAGTTACTGCGTGGATTTATCACAGAAAGCGTATTCTGAATTAGGGACTGAGGCCCTTCCAAGCTTTTGGAATTTAACCTAAGGGACTTCTGCAAATCAGCCGATTATTACATCAAATCTACAAACCTTATCTTGGGACATGGCAATTGTTTGTTATGTATCTATCTTTTACCTATTTTAGAATTCTCTTCTGTATTTTAATAAACTCTTAGTTATTTTACTAAAGATTGGCAGCATGATTCTGGTAAGATGTGAAATATTTATTTCCCTGGGATAAGAATCCTTTGACATTGAGGTGTTTGGTGAATTGTATGATGAACTGGATTACTCTCAGGCTATGCCTACACTGCCATTTTTTTTTGAAGAAGAAGAAGATGTGCAAATCGCACACTCATTTGTATATCTTCTGCCAATCCTTTTTGTGGAAGAGGATTTGCTGCTAAAAAGCCCCATGTAGAAGGGGGCTATTTGTTGGGGAAAAAAAACCTTTTGTGCAAGATCCTGTAAACCTCATTTTTTGAGGAATAAGGGATCTTGCACAAAAGGCTGGGTTTTTTTCTGACAAATGACCCTGTCTACACAAGGCTTTTTAGCAGCAAAACCTCTTCTGCAAAAAGGATCGGCAGAAGATATGCAAATGAGAGCACAATTTGCATATCTTCTTCCGAAAAAAAATGGCAGTGTAGACATAGCCTCACTGACCTCTCACCATACAAGATCTCAGAGGGGTAGCCGTGTTAGTAACTTTTGAAACAACAAGTACATGCCTCTCCTTGCACAAGATCTGTTTCTCTGGACTGGGGATCAGAGGGCTGGAATGCTTAAGGGGACTGCATATTTTGGCTTCTTGTTAATCCGTGTGATATAATTGTTTGTTACCACATTGGTGAATTTAATTAAAGAAGAAATAAAGAGGAAACCAGCAGTCAGTGGGTCACATTTATATATACAGGATCCAACAGCATTTATCCCTTCAAATGTAACATGCATATCCATATGTATCTTTGTGCCCAGTCACATTGCACTAGCCTACACAACCTCCAGTTTGCAACAATTTAGTACACTTTTGGATTGCCCACAACTGTCCAGTGATACCACACACACCCTGCAAGACACGGAAAGGGCATGGAAAGACACAGAATGAAGTCTGGGGTTTTTTTTCTGTTTATGTTGTTTTTTAAAAGGGATGCTCTTCAAGACATTGGCATGTACTTTCAATCTTGAAAACTTATTGCTTAACTTTCCCCAGGCGAGTAATCAAATTCAAATGGTGTACATTCCTCATTATACTAAGGTATCAAGAAATATAGTCCCTTCAGCACATTTTTCATGCATGTGGACACACCCAACATGAATCAAGCTTACCTCCATGGAAAGTGATCCGACTTTCCTCCGGGGTCACAAAATGCTCCTTTGCCAATTGTACCACTTTAGGTAGGTCATAAATTGTGACTGTAGAATTTGGGTACAAAGAAATACATTCCCGGGCCAAACCGCCTGCACCTCCTTATAATGAAAGTAAAACAGATGGTAAATGCTCAAATATAACAATGCTGGTCATTTCCATCTAATAAACGTAGACTCCAATGAACTCAGACTCATGATACTTTGTGAGATAGATTAATGTTAGTATTCATTTTTACAGAAGGAGAAACTGAAGTAGTACGGAGTTAACTGATGGTCTCTCAGTCTATCTCTATCTTCTCTGGAATAACACTCAATTTTCCTGGCTCCCAGTCCTGTGAACTAACAACTGCACTATAAAGGGTATTGTTTTAAAATCACACAGCATGATGCACCTGCAGCTGGCTGGAAACTTCTAAAGAAGAGCTGTTTTTCTTTCAAAAAATGACCATTTTGAATAAAAAAAATTGTGAAATATTCAAATTGTTACTGGAAGTTTATTTCACTGAAAGCCTGTGTTTTGTTTTTTCTTTACAAAAGTGGTCATTTTGAATATGAAAATTTTGTGTGATGTTGACTTTTTCTAAGTTTTAATTTTCATGACATTTTATGACTTTTTAAATAAAAGGTAACTAAATATTTTTTATAAAAACTTCTATTTTGGAAAAGAGGAAATATACACTGCCATTTCAGTGATTTGCATAAAATATGAGAATTTTTTTTAAAATAACATTTCCTCTGTTTGAACACTGCAAAATAGAAATGTCAATTTTTTATAAAAGTATTCTAAAAAAATTTTCAACCAGCAGTAGATGAACCTAAAATCCAAAGTACAAGTAACGTACAATAGATATTTCCCTTAGGTAAAATTGACTAACCATTCTTCTGTTTTAAAGCTCCCATCTTCAATCAGTCATAAAGGAAGTCATAAAGTACAATAACAACACTTAGCCTCTTATATGGTGCTATTAAACTAATTGATCACAGAGCACCCCATTGGCCTTAAAATAGATGAGTTTTATGCTATCAATCTATAAATATCAAAGCACTTCACAAAGAAGAAACATCTCATTATCTCCATTTTACAGATGGAAAAACAGAGTTCCAAAGAGGGAATATGACTTGCTTAAAGTTATCCAGCAGGCCAATGGCAGAGCTAGGATAGAACCCCACTCTCCTGCGTCCCAGCATGATCAAAATCAGCACAGTGGCTGCAGCAATGTGCTAGA